TTGAAATTATGCCATTCGGGCTACCAGCCACTCCCGTATGGGAATTTCAGTTTTGGAGTGATTCTTCCCTTCTTTTCTACTGAGATGGCGTTGCTTTCATATTGTCGATGATTTTTGTTTTGGCTAGGCTACGCTGAGTCGGCGGTCTTAGGATTGCTGGCTGGAGACTACCCTGCACTGATGAGAGTCAAAGAGCTCGAAACCGGTCTGTAGGTGTCTAGCGTGGCCTGGCTAAATCGAAATCAATAGGCATTCAGGAAAGAATCACTTGTATCAGTATTCGTTTATACGAGTCGATGCATAGATTTCGGGAGGATGTAATTCAATGTTCTGGCATTAGCCAGGAAAGTTTGTTTTTTTCCCGAAATCTACCATTGTTGTTCATTTTATGAACATTGTGAAGAAATGACTTTGAGCTTTTTGTATTTATAGAACATCGAGGTTGAAAGTCTACGAGTTTTAAACTTTTTTGAAGAGGCTTTTAGTTTTGAAAATATTGAATTTATTCCATACTTTACGGTTAGTTATCTTGAGAATACTATACTTCAACGCCCTGCAATTCGCCCCTGAACGAACCCTACTGAGTGTTATATAAACTAGTATTTCATTAATATTTCTGGAAGTTCCATCCCTCACTCAATTTTCTCGGAAAAAAATACCATGTACAGGTAGTAGAATCGTGGGTATGTGATATTCGTCGTTTGTGCATAATGATGACAGCATCTTTCAGAAACCATTTCAATTTATGAACTACAGAGAGGATATTTGAAATTATCACAATATGTCTCATAAATCTGTTCTATATGATTCTCAGAAAAACAACTCCTGGCTCTGAGACAAGAAAAGTCAACAAAGGGTAAGGTAAACATCAAGTGAAATAGCTCTGTGGAATGGACAGTAACATTCTTAGGGGAAGGCGACCTGAATTCTCTTGAAATATAGTAGTTCAAGTTGTTTGACAAGCAAGGCACACAGGGTACAGTTCATGAACAAGATCAACTGAAAAAGCCCCGTTATATATAAAACCGTTGGAAGGCATCATTTATAAGACTTCCTCTGAAGAATCATTGTTTTTTACTGAGTTGAATACACATTATTTATTACGAGGTTTAACTGAATTATGGAGTTTGCAGTGAACGTTATAACGTCTAAGGCTAACAATTCACTCATTTTTTAGGTACTTGGGTCATAACTATATTTAAGGTTCTCAACTTCATTTTATGTGTGTGTATGCACTTCAGTAGCTTATTTGAGTATTTGCTGATGTCCTCCGACTATACGGATGTAACCAGAAACTAATCAGCTATTTTTTGTGTTTTTAGTGGAGTTCTATACAACAATGTTGGATGGTAGATGGCTTTCAACGAATTCCTTAGACGGTCAGACTAATGGAATTCTTTCCTTGCAGGATGGCATCCTTATTTACAAAGTATTTCATATACCCAACATATCCATAACTCATGAAATTAAATTACTTGTAAAACCTCGCATGTGTTCAGTATAACGGGAGGTTTACAAAAACAATAAACGAACTGGAAATTGTCTTATGAACTGAAATTTATATTGTACGTTTCTTCCCTCTTTTTTGGCATGAGCTTGTAATTTTAGTTTGTTGTTCCTGCATACCGAGTGAGTCAATCCTTCGGTATTAACCAAACCGTCAGATACATAGGCAAAAATCAAATACAACAGTTATAATTTTTCATGAGAACTATCTCCTAACATTTTTTTTATATCTATAAGGTGTTCGAATTCCAAGATATCGGCTGATGAAGAGTTTTTTTGAGTGGGACACCCTGTTCTCAATTACATTTTCGAATGCACCATCCGAATTGTTACACAACTGTTTTTTGTTTTCTATATCATAGACTGATTTTGTAGATGTCTTTAAAAAAAATATTGCGATTTTCATCTAGACATCTAGACATTGGAACGCAATAAATTTACACGAGTAGATTCCTGATGTGTTCCATTCGTTCCTACAGAATCAGTTCGAAATATTGAAACCTCTGTCAATGATAAACGGAGAAACGTGACAAAATTGAAGATTATTTCAAAGGAACACCCTATATTTTTTCATGTTAACGGTTCCAGATCGAAACTAACTTCAATCTATATTGATAATTATTAATTTGATAAAAAAAGATTGTCATTTTTGTATTCTGTTCGAAAATGTGTATATCCAATAATATCAAATACGTATTTTTCGACGTATTTTTTTTGTTTGGTGATGCATTACAATGCAAATAAAATAAAGATACAAATGTGATATGAAGAATTCCTTCGAGAATATTTTTGTACCTACTCAATTTCATCTTATCAAGAATGCTCTGATGAGACATTAGTTACGTTGGTTACCTATCAATCAGTTTATGTTCATGGGTCACGCAGAAGTATTGCAAAATATTAATTGAATGCACAAATGACATTTTCTCATCAAATAAACGATTACTTGCTAAAAAATCGATTTATATCGAAAACCGCAATATTTAGGCATATGACATACTTCATAAAAATTGATCTGTAACCGTTAACGGGAAAAAATACAGGGTATACCATTTGAAATAATGAAGTTTTGGCATCTTCAATTCCCTCAAGTTCTTCCGTCTACACAGAGTGTTCAATATTTCGAACTGATTTTGGGCGAATGAATGGAACACATCTTGTACTCGTGTGAATTTATTTCGTTCCAAAGTCATCACACATGATAATTTTGTTCATAGGCCTCTACAAAATCAGTATGAATAACTTGGCAACCGTGAAGTCAAATATAGAAAGCAAAAAACAGTTGTGTAGCGATGGTGTATTCGAAAATGCAATTGAAAACAAGGTAAATGTAAAAACTTCACAAACGATAAGATTTCCACAAAATTCTCAAACACACGACATGTTTCGCTAACACAGTAGCTTCGTCAGGTGATATACTGGTACAATGAACTAACCTAAGGTTGGCTTGCTTAACTTTTTCCATCAAGTAACGGCCGAGTCAATTCAAAAAATGAAAACAAGGTGTCTCATCATCAGCCGAAATCTTGAAATTCGAAAACCCTATATATAAATATGAAAATAATTTCAGGTGATAGTTCTCATGAAACCCTATAACTGTTGTATTTGAATTTTTGCTATATATCTGACGGTTTGATTAGTATCAGAGGAGAACACACTATTGACTCACCCTATGTAGTATAAATCCTCATCGTAAATTATTTTCTTGATCTTCTTCGTCATCAATCTTGAATTAATTTTGAATTAAACCAGATATAACCTGCAGACCTGAGAAACCAAACCAAATGGCACCTCATCACAAGTAATGACATATTTTCGAAATACATTTCGAATTGGGAAGTAGTTGATTCATCACGTAGTTTGATGATTTCGATTCAGGTATACAGGGTGAGTAATGGTGCGTCAGTGTCCGATGATAGCAAAAAACATAATTATAAACTAATATTAACTATATAACAAGGTCTATTGGTATGAATTATTGCCGCACAGAACACAAATCTAGAAAATCATCAATAGTAATTTTTTGTGCCCTTCATATCAACGCATTTTTTCAAGAATCTACCTCGTCAACATTATAGACTATGCCTGAAACACTTGAAATTTGTGATTTATTTAGTCGAAATAATGTCACCTTCGCAGATGCATGTACTGAGAAATTCACTGTCGTCGTGATTATAGAATTCCTGAGGAAACATTCATGATGTCATTTAATATACAGATGTGTGTCTGAAAATGATTTTTCGATTCAGAACTTTCAGAATTGATTTTTCTCGAGTTATTCAAATCCGATCATTTGAAATAGGGTTAGAATCCGAATATTTTTTGTATTCATAGTTCAATGACAATCTTCAATCATTTTCGATTTCATTTTTTTTCTTAATTTTGCATAATTATTGTTTCTATTTGCTCACATAATTTTCTTCCAAAAATGTGTGTATCAGGAGCGTGTAAATTATCAATTATAATTGGAAATTGATTTCAGATGTCATATGCAAGGTGTTTCATTTCGAATGAGTAAAACATTTCATTCTAGAAGTTCCGATTTGGAATTCTAGTTATCGAAGGATTTGAGCAATCGGACTCTGACTCAATATACTGCTCCGCCCTGTATAATTGAAATAATTTCCATGATTCTCTCTTCAACCCAACCATTGAATTTTGTTGGATATAAAGAATGAAATACAATTATTCATACATCATCAAATTAAGTTTCAAATTATTCAGGTTTGAATTGAGTATACATACCTATCATTATTTGGAGAATTTAAATTGGAAGTGCTCCTTCCTCATAAAATTCAACAAATCATTTAATTTCATAACGAAAACTTGTTGATTGATGACGAAGTTCAATCCGTTTTTTCTTCTGTTTTTTATTTATTCTGATTCTATCATCGTTGAATATAATGAATGGGTAATATAGGTATGCATATTTTGTATATTATATTATTATATTATATCACACCTCTATGCATTTATCGTTATTCTCTTGACTTTGCTGTTCGAATATGGAACATTCTCAAACAATGTCATAATCAAATAACTATCTATCCAATTCGTATAGCAGAGTTGAGGGACTTATCATTGTAGTTCTGTTATACGGATTATAGTGCACTGTATCATCAATGAACCCATTCGTGATTGCCTTACTTGCCTCAGTTTACCTACTTTCTGCTTGAGGAAGGGGTGAATTATGTATAAGCTATCGGCAAATACAAATTTCCTATACCTTGAGTCTGAGATAGATCTGAGATGAAACGAGATTAGAACTGGAAGAAATTCTATACTTCCACTTTATACCATTAGATATATTCTATTAGGTAAATGTTATTAGTTACGTTTTATCATGTATTGTATATATTCTAGAAATTGCATGTGTTGTTTCACATCGTATCATTGTTGTTAGACTAGTTGTAGAAGTGATATTCTGTTTGTTATAACCTCTTCACTTGCGATTGTCAGAGAAATTTTTTATATGTTTGAGTTTTTTTTCACAGCTTGATCTCGTCTTGAACTCGGAGGAAGGTGGGGATCTATCAGACTTCATAACGAACGGAGAATGGTATCTGATAGGTGAGTACTGGTATACTAGGTAGGTATGTACCACTATGGAGATTATTTTCGTATATTCAATCCTAAGAATTGTTGTCTTCCTCAGTATGATTTTGTTCTTTTATCACTAAATGAAGTATACAGGGTGACATTTCGAAAACTTCCCACCCTCAATATCTTCCTTCCAGTGAATAATATGAGAAATCGAAAAAACAGGTCAATTTTATTTTTAAATGGGATACTCGAAATGATTAGTTTTAGCGCTCTTGGTTCAACTGCCTAGGAGGGGTGTATGTTACCTTTAGAATCTCAAATGGGAAGGGGGGTCTGCTGAGCGGTGTGTTAATGATGAAAAATCACGTCACGTCAATTTCAATACTAAGAAGACACTTGAAATGCATATTTTCAGCCCTCCTACTTCAACCCCTTAGGAGGGGTAGAAGTAACCCTCAGAAGCTCATATGAAAAGAGGTGTCAAGATACACATTATTTTGGAGACCGTTCAAGCAGAGCCTACTCTATCTCACCGGGCCGGAGCATCGCTTTCGTGACGTCACACTAGTAGGGACAAAATCAACGCAGTGGAAATTGTCTCTCCCGTTTCATTGATGTACCTCGGGAAAACGGTTACAGTTAGAAAAAATTTCAAGAATTCAAATATGTACAGAACAGAATTTTCCAGAAGATGAATCAACTTTCACTGATTTACGATCATTAGTTTCAGAAATATCGCATATCAAAATCAATTGACGCCATTCAGAATTGTCCTTTTTTAAACAGCTACCAAAATTCCAATATTCAATGCACAGAAATGATTCAATCATGGAAAGACTTCTCATAATATCTGGATTAACTGAGTTTTTTTTTCAAATGCCCAAGGGCCAATAACAAACCGATATTTCAGTTCAAGTAGAACGATGATTCAGGTGTTCATTACAGAATAGTTCAAAAAGTTCGGACGCCTCCCATGCTAATCCTATCAACTGTGGATATATGCTGTCACTGACTTTTTTGTAGGAAATTTAATTGCCTACAAATCGGTATAATACACATCCACTTTATTTCGAAGGGTTTTAGCAGCGTTTATGTCTAAAGATGATCAGGACGCACTTTGATGACGTTAGAAATCCTATCACTCGAGTGTGTTATTACACAAAAACGCCTATTCGGTATTAATGATTCTCTGCTGAAGAGTATATATTTATATATATAATGATAAATATAACGAACTGAATAACAGAAAACCCAGAACCACGATATATAAATAGATAAGGAAAAAAAATCGTTGAATCTTCATACAAACAAAACCAAAAAAAATAAACTGTTGAGGTGATCAATATAACAAAATTAAAAAAAAATTAATAGATATCACAGAATGAAATGCACTAATAACAAAAAATATACATATATACATCTGAATCACAAACTAAAAATTGAAATCTTGAAAGTTTAGTGATTTTCATTTTTTTATTATTGGATTTGATCCAACTATTTTTGATTTTGCAATAATTGTTCAACAGAATATTCGAAATGGTTTTAGAGAATATTCTGATTATTCCATCAGAAGACCCACAACTGCAACATTGAATCTCGGAATAATTGAGAAGGGAATTGATTTTAATTTCTGCTGAATTTTCCAAAACTTGATGTTTTGACATACATTGTAGAAATGTTGTTTCGAAATATTCAGACACCAATATTAGTACGTCTGAACCATACGCCCTTCAGAAATAAAATGAGTATATAATGGCTCACTTTTTACGCGCTCTTTATATTCAATTTCTTTCGGACTAATTGTAGATAACTCTACCATTTTTTCACTATTCAATTGATACATTATCCTAGTTTGATATACTGAGTTGGTTTTATCTTATTCCGATTCCAAATTTGCAAAAAATAGTATTCTGTAATACAACGTCCTGATTTTCAATAAAATGGATTTTTTTTACAACGCCAGAACTCGGTATTGATTCATCCTATTGGATTATTTTTTTCACCAAAAGTTGGGGAATTCGTTGGGGATCATTTCGTCTCTATTGAGTGTGCTTCTAAAATTTATAGTAAATGAGCTATGGCCTATCAATAATTACGAACGCACCAGTACGAACTGTTGTGAAATCTCAACCTACTAGTGTGACGTCAGCGTCCAGAGAGAGGGGATAGACTACGGCCCGGTGAGATAGAGTAGGCCCTGGTTCAAGTCTCTTTTCAACAATACCCTAGTTCTTCAGTTTTTGATGAGCAGTTTCCGGAAAATGCCGTTCTAAACTAACAGAAGTAATTAGAACATATACCTGCACTGAGCTGCATGGTTTTTAGGTTAGTATTATTGTATCGACTCTCCATTCAGTCCAAATGGTAGGAAGATTTTGAAAGCATCTCAGTGCAGGCATGTTCTAATTACTCCTGTAAATTTAGAACGGCATTTTTTTGGAAACAACTCATCAAATCATCCTATCTTCGGATTGGAGTGACTGAATTCCGCCCTTACATATTGTCTGATAAATTTTGTGTACCATCGAGGTTTTGATTATTTTGTAATTCGGGCAATATGAATAAAGACATATTATTATTATTATTATTATTATTATTATTATTATTATTATTATTATTATAAAAAATGATAAACTAGGGTACCCTTGGGTAGATAATTGAACGCCCTTCAAAATGATTTGTCACCTGGGGTTCTAAGGGTAACATCTAGCCCTCCTAGGGGGTTGAACCAAGATGGCTGAAAATATTAATTTTAAGTGTCCCCCTTGAAAATAAAATTGACCTGTCTTCTCGATTTTTCCTATTATTTACTGAAAGGAAGATATTGTGTTGCTTCTCTTATTGTCTTCGATAGTGAATTCTTGTCCCAACACTTGCATGTCCCCATTGTGAGCGATTATCCATTTTTTCGTACACTTCCATTGATTATTGTCATTAGTAACAAGTATTTCCCCTCAATAGTACATGATTTTGTGCCTAACGTACCAGTTGTAGATAATTATTATATTTACGTTATAAGTTGCGAAATCGAGAGTTTCTCTGATGGTCTAGAACCTTCTGGAACATCATTTTAGAACATTCTAAACAATTTCAGAAAGTTCTACACAATTCTAGAACACTCTAGATAAATTCAGAGTATTCTAGACAATTCTAGTACAATCTTGAACATCCTAGAACCGTCTGAAAGAAATTATGCCACTAGTTAATCAATTTTTTACTATATTTTGCTCCATGAGATATCCTGACCTCGAATTTTGTTATAGTATGTATGAATACAATTATTCATAAGAATTATAATCGTTCAGTCTGGACAGTTTTGCCAATCTGAATTTTCTCATTCGTGTGTAAACAAAAAAATATATATCAAAATGGCAATCCTTCATCCACTCCTACCCCTCTGTACATTTTTTTGATTAGTCAACAAAATCAATGAGAATGCATGGCACGAAATATACAATCCACTTGAATGATTCCATTGAATCGTTCTATAGGTACTAAGCATCGTTCACGTTTTTTTGAAAGGAAATCACATGCGTACCTACACTGCAAACTATCTTTCGCATGAAATTATACCTCGTAGGAAACACATTTCCTGGAAAAATTCGTGAGCTACTATTCTGAATCTATGCTTACAAATTTTCGACGTATTCTGTGTTAATTGATTTTTCTTCATGAATAGGAATGCCTGGAAAGAAGAATACCATCGTCTACCAGTGCTGTCCAGAACCTTACGTTGACGTGACCTTCACCATCCAGATCAGGAGGCGGACTCTATACTATTTCTTCAACCTCATCGTACCCTGTGTCCTGATTTCATCTATGGCTCTGTTGGGATTCACCTTGCCTCCGGATTCGGGAGAAAAGCTGACACTAGGTATATGCTTCATGCTATATGATGATGCATTTTATGTTTGCACTCTTGTTGTATGGGTGACGCTTGACTTCTCACAATTTCATAAAATGTCATACACATCGACTCCAATACACAGACGCACACACCATCGTCAACACTTTCAGATACCTAATGTTTCTAAATGATGATCCGTCAGATCCGATTATCAACCACTCGACGGCTGAGACGGACTCGAAATCAGCTTCAAAAAACGAAATCTTAATTTCAGGTGTCACCATACTCCTTTCATTGACAGTATTTCTGAACCTAGTAGCCGAAAAGATACCGACAACGTCAGATGCTGTTCCGCTAATAGGTATGCTTGGCCTACTGGGAGCATCGTGTGTTTTAACGCCCCGTGTCCCCTCACGGACTGTCCGTTGATACTTGGAGGGCGTTGTATATGCCCCTTTAGTGTACATATCGTCGATTATTCTGTCAGCATGTACCGCATCACCTTATCCATGCGTGTCCACTATAAGCTTTATTATCCCTCAACCTCATAGTTACAGGTCCGCCCGAAAAGAAGAGGTGAGTCATAATTATCTTGACTAGACCCTTAGCCTTATAACAACCTCCTCTCCGCAACTAAGATGTCACACCAGGAAATTTTCAGGATTCGCTCGTGGTTTGCTCCTCACTGAATATTTTCTCCCGATACTACTATCTGTTTAGTGTATTTATTCTCAAATCAATTCAAGACAGTAGACAAAATATTGTGTTGCAAAAATGTTTCATAATTCCTCGAAGGAAAACAAAGCATAGGATTTTTACAAGGCTATAAGATATGACTGTAACCAAAGTCCTTTCCTGACAATATCTGGCCCGTTTAGGAAGCTGCAAATACTATTGCATATGAGTGTTAGACATGTTTGTACCATTGCATGAGTATAATCAGATAGTATGGTTTCCTTCATCATGGAAACCAAATCGTTTCCGGAGTCCGAAACTTTCATACAAATTCCAATCTGGTTGATTGGTTGTTTGACATAGCTTTTCAATCTACACTGGAAGATTCTTCACTCATTTACTAACTGCTAATGGTGCTGATATTCTTGCTCTTGGTATAATAATGGGGTGTACCTAAATGCACCCTTATATCCATAGTAGCAGTAACTTCTTGCATATCTTCTTAAAATGCTGCCTCTTTCCACGCACCAACATTTCTCAGATCAACACATTGTAACTTTATGTTGGACATCAATATAGTGGATTGATGTAAAGATGGAACATTGTGTTGGGAACTCATTACCTATACATTCCTACCAAATCTTGTAAAAACCGAATTTGACCTATTTTCGAACACTGACGCAAACGAAAACTATGGTTGTGTTCTCAAATTCTAAATTAATTATCTATTCGCCTTTCAGTTTTATTATTAATGTTTTTTGAAGACATGCTGCCCAATGTAAATGTTTTCAAATTGTTTTCCACATTGCTATTTGAAGGCTGATGGAGTGCTTTTTAGACGGCTCCTTCAAGTTCTAGACTTCTGGAAATAACCCCTGCAGGAACAACATAATGAACATAATAATAATAGTCGGCTATAGTTCGTTGAAGGAATGATTGCACGCTATGTGATAAGAGAGTTGTCATTATATACAGGGTGATTCAAAATCCACTGTGAATATTTCAAGGGCATATTGTTGGGATCAAAATAAGACTTTTTCTTTACATAAACATGTGTCCTAAAATGCACCCAATAAAAGCATATCCCCTTCTTCAACTCTCCCAAACCCAAAACTCGGTTAACATAATTTTTGAAGCAAAAAAGAAGAAGAGTGTCTAAAGAACAGAGGCATGCCATTTTTCAGACGATTTGATCCGTTATCATAATCACATTTTTAGATAATCCTTACTTCACCCAACTTACAGTAACTGTAGCTCAGAGGAGGTTCATTTCAAGACACATGGTTATATGAAGAAAGAGTCCAATTTCAATCTCAACAATGCGTCCTTAAAATATTTCAGTTTCCTACGTGTCAAAGCTAGTTTTCCTTTGATCTGTTGAGGACTACCCAAATTTGGTTATAGGTATCTATGTTCGAAGAGAAATGGACCACTTCCTCAATTTACTTTCCAGTATTGACTGTGAAGGCGTAATCAAGATATGTTCTGTTGCAGGCGTGACCATCTTACTCTCGTTGACTGTGTTCCTGAACCTCGTGGCAGAAACCCTGCCCCAAGTATCTGATGCCATTCCCTTGTTAGGTACCAACCGTTCTTTGTCTGACCTGCCTGTGCTGGCTACATCCTCAGTGCTGCCTGATGACATGTGTATCATTGTGTATATGTGGTTGTTGTGCACTAAAGTCTAGCAACAAGAAGTCAGGAACAGCCCAACTCAAACGAACGACTAGCGACGCCAGTGTCAAGATAGAAAAACACTATGTTAGACCGCGTTAACAAACTGTCTACGGCGAGTTAGGTTAGGAAGCTACACGCGAAATCCAATGTGGGCCGTGTTAGCCTACTGCCTTTCAGGCTTCCATGGGTTGTCCTTGTTTCTCGCGATGAAAATCCTACCCCAGCACTGGCGTCACTCGTCGTTCGTTCAAGTTCGATGGCTCCTGACTTCGCGTGTGGCTGGACTTTAGTTTGTTGTGTCCGCGCGCGGTTCAGCTTTCATTGGCACTTAGATGATCAATGCGTTGCGATCAAAGAAGAAATGTTTAGGGCAGGAGTGGCTGGATGAAGTGCTGTTAGGGTGGATTTGGCGCGATCTCCTTGAAGGGTGGGTGGGTGCCGCAAACATTTCCTCTTTGACGCGAACGGCATTATAGGGAGGGGAGCCGGATACTTGGAAAGGAGGGCCGTCTGCGATGATTTTTTCGGGCTACATGATCGATCTAGATCGCGTACTCCACTGAACCTTAATATTTCCTGGAACGTTGCTGAACACCGATTTCCTTACGTTCACAATTTGGTCCTGATGCTAGGATCAACAAATTCTGGAACAACGTTTCTGGAACGGTTCCTTTCTTCATATCAAATCCATTTGTGGTGATAATAGCTGTCCGTTCACTAGATGTCTATCTTGGCAACTCATAAAAGAAGGCTCACTAAAATAATTTCACTGTCCGGTCTAGTTTACTGATCTAAGTACAAACTGGATGAGTAGTGCTATTATATAATTGAGCCAACTATAACATCTGACACATTGAAGCTAAGCAGATGCTTGTGCGGTGATAAGCATCACACCAGTGCTGACACCAATTCGAAAATAACACAAAATATCAACGAACTCTACATTTAGAATTGTCAGCTCCGCTCAGCAAAAATATAACGAAAATCTGTTCGAGAAGCTGAAACATAAGCTGCATTGATGAACATGTTTTCTTGATGATACTTTGAAACGAATCACAGGTATTGAGAATGTTCCCTTTGACGAATTTCAAAGGACTGCATGCTCATCCAGTTGAATTATAGATCAGTGGTCTGGTTCATCTGGAAATACGTCTCAACGACACTTGTAGATTCAATATTCAGCACACAAAAATTACTAGGTATTGAGTGTTCAGAAAGTTTTTGTTAAGATGTCCATGGAGTATATCGCTACAGAGGCATTTGTATAGTCGGTAGATTCCTAGATGTTGAAAACTTTCTGAACATCTGATACTGCAACGCTCGTTATTCATGAGAAGTTTACGCTTGGTGATTAAGAATACCACTGTGCTCAGTAATGAAATGTAATGAAGAAATTTGTGTGTTGCTGAATCCATCTGATGAACAACATGATGAGCCAACAATCCATCGTCATTCGGTCGTTTTGAATAGGTGGATCAATGTTTTGAGAACAAAATTAGATGTTACATTCGAGTTTAGGTCTTTATCATATCAAATTCTAATACATAATTTGTATACTGCTCTCTGAAAGAGCCTCAATGAGGGATTGTGATGTTCTCACAAGCAGAATGTAGTTCATCGTCATCAGATCACAGATGGAAGGTTCAATAATCTGTCATCAGATGCTAAGAAGAAGGCTACATATATATTCAATCCAGGCATTTCTTTCGGAAAGTTGTACCTCAATATAGCTCAGTACCGAAATGATTCTTTCGAAACTATTCTCAAAACATACACTCATACATGAGAAGGCGTCTGTACAAACACTATTATTCTAGAAATCCTATTCCATTCTGAATTCTGTCAGAAATAAATGAGATCCAATTGCTTGATAACATCACAACTCCGCGAGACCAATGGTGTTACCTCGAAGCAATTTGATCGGGTTCTACATTTCTAACCCGACCTATATGAGACTGTTATCTTCATCACATACCAGGTAACTTCATGTTATTGTTGTAGTTGGGTTCGTGATTGTAGTGACGACGTGGTCTTACCGGCTCGAAAGGAAGGAGCAGCGTAATATATCGAGGCACATCATTCTGATTGGATCTTATATCGCAGGAGATGACAGTATTATATAGGTCGTAGAATGTAGAATTGTCAACATAGTGCAACTTGCTGCGCGAATTTCTAATAGATCAGTAAATAGTGGGCCAATGAACGAAATAAGGAATTCTATAGATCGTGCTCTAAGGATGCGTTCTAGGGAATATTAACAGTTCAGCGGCGTTCTTGCGGCACAGCCACAGGTCAGACGCCTCGCGTGACGCACTGTCTGTTGCAGGTGTGACTATCCTGTTATCACAGACCGTGTTTTCTCTGCTGGTGGCTCATGTGATTACCCAGACGTCAGACGCTGTGCCCCTGATAGGTTAGAGTCTCGGATAAAACACTTAGTTAATTTTATTTGCAAACACAAACTACGGGAACCGGTCCAGTCTCGGTTTTTGAACGGTCGGCTACGCTTCTAAGTGGGTGAACACAACGGCACATCGCGTTTTGTGGTACGCCATTGAGTTCACCTCCTTGAGCTGAGGCTACAAGAGGCCGGGCCGCGCTTTGCATGCTCTCGACTTTGAACTGTAACAGCACTTCGCCCAGCCACATCGACAGTACACCACCAGCCAGCAACTATTTGCGGCTCGTGCTTCTCTCACTGGGTGAATGGTTGGCTACTTGGACCGAGACTAAAATTGTTAAAGGGTTAATCTCACTCTACAAGATGTCCATAGACCTGAGGTAGCCTGTTCGCTGTATGATGAAAATGTCCACATCAACGTGTGCCACTCGTTTACTGTAAACAATATTGAAACTATTCAGTGGAATTGCCATCATAATATCTCTCAAGTTGACGATAAGAATTTGTAATTTCGTTTGATTCACTACTATTTCCAATGAAACAGATGTTCACCATTCTATACTGAGAAATCGGCTCAATCAACTCTCTTCTCTTCAAAATGACTCGACCTACAAACATCTGAGGTTCATACTATGAAAAGCTGAAACGTAGTTAATATATAGGGTGTTTCATAAGTATAAAACCAATACTACGAGTTGTATGTATATGCTGGTACCAGGCATTGTCGATTATATGAAGATATCAAATCTCTAGATGAATTATTGTGGCCAAGCTGACTTCAAACTATTACAAGTTCTGAGCAATATGTTCGAGCTTCAATATGAATGAGTAAGTTACCTATCAATTATAATTTTGATATCTTCAATGGTAGAATAAATTAAATTCATGTAGGAAGCATATTCGTTTTAGCTATTAGATCTCATCTCATTCATTCACTCATTATAGAATACCCAACCCTTGTAATGAGAATTGTAATTCTCTTTATGCAATAAATCTATCTACTCCGAATTATAGTAGTACACGCAGGTGGAAAAAATGGGTTCGAATGATTTTTCGACGCCCTTAAAAGTGAACGCCGGAATGGAATATTAATAGTTGATAACTTCTCAACGGTCATCGTCATTCGAACGAAACGATCAGTATTATTCTCAAATATTATACATCTGGATTCTGTTGAAATTTAGATTCTATAGACTATAACGAAGCAAGAAAGCTTCCACAAGTGAGCTGGAGGCTAATCAAAAATTCTGACAGCTATGCATGATGATTAAGGGCCACTTCATAAAAAAACTTTAAGACTTAACATGTATCACCTATCATTCATTGGTTGTGTTATGAAACCATTCAAGACTTATGATTTAAAATTTAAGATGTAAGAAGATGACCAGCTTCCAACTCAAGAAGTGCTGATAAATGATCATAAATTGAATAAGGAGTGCGCATCCAAAAGTGGCATCTCAATTTACCGCCATTCAAAAATAATTCAAAATATCTTGTGTTTTTATTCCTGAATATTTGTTTTTCTTCTGATGGATACTGAACCGTTCTTCAAAAATAAACTATAGAATGTCGCACCTCTGTTGCCTCCATATTCGTCAAAAGATCCAAGGAGTGAGCCAGTTTCTGTTAGGCAAGGAGTAGTGATTACTTTCAAAATGATGTGGAGATATAATGGATGTGGGTATATCATTTTAGGGATATAAATATAAATATAGATTGATAGAATGATATCAGAACATGACATTTCGATTTCCAACCAGTTTCTAACTTACTAAACTCTGATAATCTGGTTCTGTATCAGAAACTATGTATTGCCCTAGAATCTTAATTTTTTTCATAACTGGATCCACTTAAGACTCTTAAGTCTTGAATGTTTAAATGTTAAATCTTAAATGCTAAAAGTTTTTATAAAGTCACTCTAAGCGTGAAAACCCTTGGCTGAGACTTGAACAACGCTTCATTAGTATTTCTTTTCGAAATAGCAGTGTTCTAGATTTCTATTCATATTCAATTTGAGAGATATATGTGACTGATGGAATCAATTTGTATTCGAAAATGAAGGAATTTCCAGACTTCCATTGATTATCTTCGTGAAAGAGCTTGCGAATTATTTACTTCCGGTTATTGGACACCCTGCCTAAAATACCAACTAGATAATGAATTGTGAATATTAATTAATATGCTCAAATACCTTGTCCACCCTTGATAACCGATCCTTCTTCCTCCTCGATCCTTTGTACGCCTATCATAGTAGTAGGGTTACAGAATGGGCCATGTCCAACTGCAAATTTAACTTCCTGCTGCTCAGCACTCAGACTCGCTATCTATAGGGTGCGCTAGCTCGCAGACGCACTCTTGACTGCAAAAGACCTTCTCACCTCCAAGTATCAAATGGCTCTGTCCCACTAGGAATATCAATCTGTATGTTTTGTTGTTGACATGTTTTATTTCCTTATTGTTTGTACTATTTGTCTTACTGATTATTATATTTTGATTTGGTTTCTTATGACTCGTTACCTCCTCGTTCAAGTAGTGCAATTGTAAAAGCTGTCACTTCGTTAATGATATTGGATAATTAAAAACCACTGCTCAGCGCGACACCACTACATTTCGATCGACTTGAACATATCTGTTCTATTCTATTGGTTATATTGTCAACTCATTGGGTACCTATATACATACTCATATTGACAGATGAAGATATAGCTCAGTGCAAAATTGATCATTGTCAAAAATGAGACGATATTTCGATTTAGCGGAAACAGTATATATCTACGCTAGCACATATTTGTGAGATATAATTTCAATTCCCAGAGCTTAGAAGTTGTAAAACATGTTAAAAATGGTTCTTCATATTGGCTGTTCCAAAATGAAGACCATCAATAAACTACTTTGAGTTCTGTAACGAGCTCATGGGCCTTGAACATTATAGTATTTCTAGGATTGTGTTGACATTGAAGACAAACGATGTCACATAAAAATAATATTCGATGTGTCACGGCAATTTTTATGACAGAGTTATATGTTGAGTGTTTCGTTATTAATGAGGCGTGAACGAGCACATCACAGATGTGCGTATCAAATACGCTATATGGTTTGAAAGCAGAAGCAGCATCAAAACTTCTAAATTTACACCGCGATAATGAGGTTCAAGGGATTCTATAACATGAAGCATGTGGATTGGCACAAAGAGTATCTGAAAATTCTTATTCATTATGGCTATATTCAGTTGGGTCGTAAGGAAACAATGCCGATAATGAAACGAAAATAAACTTCATGTAACTGATGAAGATATTTGAAGATGCACATTCGCCGTACTTTGTAATTTACAATATAATAAAACTCAACAGTTTCTTGAAGTAAATGCTCGTACGCGTTCTAGCTGTCACTTACACCAACCACTCTAAATAAACATGCTCCATAATTGAAGGAATAAAACAAATAGAGCAAATCTCACTCGACAGAAATAGACTTGCAATTATACAGTCCACTTATATACCCACCTACTTCATTAAATATGCGGTGTCAACACGTAGAGGATAATTATCTACTGTTTTATATTTTCTTTGTTTTGAAAAATCTGAAACAGACTATGAGAATATTGGAGAGTTAGCTTGAGTTTCTTTTCTTGACCAACCATGATAATTTTGTAACTGTGAGAGGTGGCATCCTATATGCTTACTAATTTCAATAATCATATCATTATATAAGTATTTTGCTTTTGCGACCAATAACACGAAGTTTTCTCCATGCTATATGTGCTAGTAACTATAGATAACCAATAGAATAGACTTGAACTAAATGAAGAACAACGTTGAAATTGATGGCGATATAAGAAAATACAATGTTCCAATGTCGATGGGAATTTAGTGTTGTCCCGGTTCGAGTATTGACCAGTTCACTAACAAACCTACTAAATATGTACATAAACTTCTCCTTATCTTCTAACGAATCATCATTGAGGTAACTCTAATAAGAAATAATTCAAGCAAACTAATGTTTGTAATAAACTTGTGGTTTTGTCGTGCATAGATTGGCAGATGTGGCGGCCGTTTTAGGATATCCCGATGATGTACTAAATGTGTTGGTAGTCTCGAATGATCGTCCACCCCCACCCTTCGGCTACCACGTCAGGTAATCTTGCACTATCATGAACCGAACTCAAATACAATCGACTTATAAAAAACATGCACTTTTCACTTAATATGCATTATAGAAAGCTTCGCCTCTTCCTTGATCTTGTTCTATAGCTTTCATCCCATCTGAAACCCGAATTAAAAAATCATAGCGGTCCTAAAATCTTGAGATAATCAACGAGTGCGTTAAATGTACCGGCAGTGTCAGAGTGGTAATCTCCGATGCAATTCTGCTTGTACGTTCTAAGCCGTCTATGCTGGAAGGTTGATACAGTTGTAAGAACCTTCAGGTCCACTCAGATTATATTGCTTTGCCCCTCTCAAACGCTTCATTAGAAAAATTTTTGGTTTTCTCCACTCCCTCATTTTTATTGAAGTTGCCCTTCGAGGTCTAAATTATTTTTATTAGTTTTTCGTTTGAACGAATCGCTGCGTCATGCAGCCTGTCCAACAAGATCTCTCATAGTTTTCATAAAATATGATGCCTCTGATGGTAATCTAATACATCGCGGGAGAACATTAAGGGTAGCTGTTTCCTTTTATGTTTTTTTCGGAATTTCGATGGAAGAGTGTTTGTTTCTCCTCAGCAGATCCAACACGATGTGCTGAGACAATTTCTGGAATCATCATGTTGGGGATGCAAACCTACATTCCGAACACTGCCTGGAGAACATCTTCCGATGAGGCCTGGTCCAGTAGAAACTGCTCTAAAGCTGTCGTTTTCAAACAGGCAGCATTCCATCGATGGCAGAAAAATCCAGGCCCTGAGACTAGAGCAGAATATGTCGAGGCTAGAGGCAGATGCAATGAGACAATTACATCATCAAAGGATGCTCATTATGCCAAAATAAGATCAAAACTTGTTGAATGTGCTAACGGATCCCGTTCATTTTGGTCCTTCGCCAAAACTGTAGGAAGAAACTTCACTTCCAGCTCGTTTCCTCCTCTAACCAAGAAAGATGGAACACTAGCCACAACTGCCCAAGAGAAAGCCAACATCTTTGCGCATTTATTTGCTGGAAAATCCACTCTAGGTTCATCGGGGAAACAACCTCCAAAAATAACGCCAATTGACAGTCATATGCCCGAGATCACCTTCCGCCAACGTACTATAAGGAAGATTTTATTGGGTCTCAGCACACACAGCTTGTGGCTCCGACGAAAGCCCACGGATTGTTCTCAAGAAATGTGCTCCCGAACTGACACCTGTTCTCTGCAAGTGCAACCAGTTCCTAAAGTTCCTCTTGCAAGAGTACAACCAGTTCCTAAAAAAGGCAAAATTACCCTACCTAGCAACTACAGACCGATCGCACTGCTATCTATTATTTCAAAGATCATGGAGAAAGCTATCAAGAAGTCCCACTATTGGTTTAGTTGTCCTTCTTTTCTGACTCAGTAGATAGGATGAGCGAATCATTGTTATTTTGATAAACTCCTGAGCCTATCCCATTTTTCACGAAGTTTTTCACTATTCTTATGTTGCATCCATGTGAATATGTCCATGGTCCGTAACATTATGCTGAAGAAATCTTCCTGCGTATAATCTGAATGAGCCTTTGAAAGTGAATTGCTTCAGGAAGTACAAGCTTACTAGTATAGGAGTATCGAATTTTTGAGCAACCCACGACACTGTCATTTCGACCTCGGCCGGTCTATTAACTCATGTGATATCATTGAGGAGGGTACGATCGTAGTACGTGAACATTAGTATATAATTGATGTAATTAATATGCTTGCGAGTGTGTGGTGTAGAATGTACTTGTATATATTTTCATAGGACGAGAATTTGGTGTGTATCGTAGTAATTCATGGAATTCGAATGCTTGGCGTATACCTCAAAGTTCATTTTGATGGATCATTTTGAACGGTTTTTGATATTTTTTTCGAGTAGAAATTCGTTTTGAAGTAGTTCAAACATTCTGATCACTGCCCAATGCGGATATTTGACTCACTTGGCTTTACAGGAACCTACTTCAACTGCATCATGTTTATGGTTGCGTCTTCGGTGGTACTGACTGTAGTAGTACTAAATTATCACCATCGTACAGCAGATATTCATGAAATGCCTCAATGGGTGAGTATGATAGGGAATAGTTGAATATAAATTCACCTACAACTCCTACAAGTCAGGTACCTCAATCTTACCACGATTCATCAAGTAGATTGGTCTGTGTAGTAATTGAACATTGAGAAGTGTTAAAATATTTAAAATTGAACCATATCTGGAAAAGGTAATATACAATGATATACCAAGAAGGATTCATACGTATGAATACATGAATCGGTATTGAAGATTGAACATCTAACTGTAGTTGTCAGAATGCCTAACTTGACAATCAATATGAAAATTTCAGTTCCATGAGATGAAACAGAAAATGATGTGGGTCACTCGATCATTGTATTTGTCAATATAAAAATTCTATTTTTTTTTATCGCTTGGAGCGCACGAAAGGGAATCCCTATAATGTTCAAAGAACATCGTGCGTTCCTAGGGAGGATAGGGATTTGTTATTTCATTGTAATTTTTCATGTATTGACTGATGGGGATATCAAGACCTATATTAGTATAAGGTTTTTGTCATCATAATGCTAATTTACAATAGTAATAGTAATGTTGGTAGGTATTACCACAGCTTAGCGTATAGCCATTCCCTTTATAGCACAGTGCGCACCATCCAATATGGGTGCTCTGAAACGCACTGGACTTTGTTTATGATTAATTTCACGCCGACACAACAAATCCCATTGGATTTCAGAGCACATATTAATACCTACAAGCTTCTTGCATCAAATATATGAACACATATATTTTTCTTCGGCTATAACAAAAAATTGCTGTTGTTTTACTGTGTTCGATAAGACAATGACATACTTTGTATGCCATCAATTTTATTTCCGTATCTGATATCACAAGACCTCATCTCGCATGAAATGTCAAATCTAATGCGATGGCAGTGTTGCATTTATTCTATTTCTTTTTGGTTTTATTCAGAAAAGATAGATATTCAATAAATTCTGAGGTTTTCAAGTCGTCAACAAACTATTTATTTATCTCTCTGGAGATCAAAACAACATCAATAAAAAATACATGGTGTTCAAGAAATTTCGAATGAGGATCTCTTGATTCCAATGAAGTGATGATCTGTAGATCTGAACATTCTGAACATTTTCTGAACAGGCAGCTCTGTCTAATAGATGAGGATTACTTAAGGAAAAATCAGATGAACATAGATAGTTCATTGTACCAGTATATCACCTGACGAAGCTACTGTGTTAGCGACACATGTTGTGTGTTCAAGAATTTTGTGGAAATCTTATCGTTTGCGAAGTTTTTACATTTGCCATGGATTTTCATCAAGTAACGGCGTAGAGGCGGCAAAAATTGTACATATATGTTGAGTAGGTACACTTTACTTCCTCTTCTAAAAATTCAATCACCTATATTGACTGCTCCGAATGAAACGCACTGGGGTTTGTTGTGTCGGCATGAAATTAATCATAAACAAAGTCCAGTGCGTTCCAGAGCACCATATCGGACGGTGCGCTCTGTGCTATACCGGGGAATAGCTTTACGCCACTCGGTACATGTATATAGATCAAATCCGTGTTCCTGCAATGGCTGCCGTGGATCCTCGGCATGAGCCGGCCCGGCAAGAAGATCACCCGGAAGACCATCCTGATGAACAGCCGGATGAAGGAGCTGGAACTGAAGGAGCGCTCGTCGAAAAGCCTGTTGGCCAACGTCCTCGACATCGACGACGACTTCAGGAACGTCTCGGGCGCCACGAGCGGCGGCAACAACTCCACCATCACCACCAGCCTCGGCGCAGGTGCGTTGGTCCATATTATTATTATTATTATTATTATTATTATTACAAAAAAATTCGAGATCAGGAGCCAGAGGCTCATTATACTCAGAATAACAAAGTGAGGTAACATTTTGTGCCATATAGTCCAAATAATTGTATGCATTGGATGCTTAGAAAATAGAGAATAGAGAAACCAAGTATAAATGTACCTACGCAATGTATCAATATTAGTTATGAATCATGTTCATATGGTGGTCCAGGCGGCTTTTCAACGAGTTCAGAGATGGAGCAGACAGAGCTCCATTGGTTGAAGAGTTCCATTGATTGACGACACGGTTGGAGAATAGATGTTGTCTTATCGAAGTGTGAAAATTTTATCCCATGAAAGAGTACTGCTGATGGAAATAGATATAGTGGGTCTTGGTGGAAATGGTGGTACCAGACATTGTTATATCAGGCATATATGTGGTCCGCCTTTCTAGAGAGAATACAGGCTTGAGTTTTGATGGCGTTGAATTCAACTAGATTGTTGGTTCTCCAGGCTGTGATTTCAGCAATATCGTTATTGACAGCGTTGACCTGCCTTCGGTTCTCAGTATCCTGGAAAGAAATGGAAATTCTAGGAGAAAACGCGGTGCCATACACCGTCGAATGCCTTCTATATATCCGATATATATATGAAGGGTATCATAAGAATCTCGGTAACCATAACAGATACAAGGTTGAATGAGGGCAAAGTTACGCAATTTAATGCTCATCGAAATGAATGCTTCCGAAGTAATTTGAAAAAAACCAAATATCCACATTTTCGTTTTTATTTCTTCATGAAGTGATACGACAAAATGAGTTTTATTTAATCATTGCCATTTTTTCCACTATATCCAATGGTATTGATAGATTTGTGATTCGACTTCACGTCTTCGCGAAGCTATCATCAACTTCGTTTTCTTAAATAGTCGAAGAAAAATGTTTTGTCACTTGAATTTCAGAACAAAAAGTTATCATCAGTATGATGATGATGGTTACGAAGAAACGAAACGTCGGAAAAATTTTATGCCGGCATCTTGTAGGGAAGAAAAAATGGCTGCAAAAAGGTCATACTCATTTTGGTCAACTTCAACTTTAGAACATCCAAAATACATGAAAGCAAATAATTAACTCAATATTACTCATAACATTAATAACTTTCCCTATCATTCAATATCCAACAATGAAAACAACAGCTCCTCAGAGGAGGCAACGAAAGCTGAGTCTCCTCAAGAATTTCCTTACATCGAATAATTCGATATAGGTACTTGTATAAAATATACACCGAAATAGCTAACTTACGTTCGTTTTATTGCTTTTATTTCCTGATATCAAGTAGAACTTGAGATTTTGGCACGAGATTTGGCAGTAATGCTTTTAATATATAGTATTCAGAATATAATACAAATTTCCGACTTGGCAACATCCAACGAAAAGCGGCCTCTGATGTGCTTTTGTTTTGCCCAAACTTAACGACATCAGAAAACAGTTGAGAATGAGAATCATAATATGAGGTTCTTGTTACATGTGTTCAATAGATGTAATTCAATGTTCGTCGTGGCATATAATCAGGAAAATTGTTGTTTTCTGTTGAATAAACCGAGCGAAAGAATTAATATTTTCATCACATGGAGAATGCGAATTCTCAATGTATTTCTTTATATATACAGTGTGACCCATTTTTAATGAAAACACCCCTGTATCTTACGTGATCGTTGGGTAAGGATCCTGAAATTTGCTGGAGCGAGAGATATATCAAAAATGCACCCTATCACCCAGTGGGGTCATCTTTCGTGTTATACACTGCTCGCCAACAGCCATGAAACCACCCCAATTTCCGGAAAATGATATTAGCAGTTCTTTGAACATTATAGGAATTTCCTTTCGTGCGCTCCAAGCGATAAAAAAAATAGATTGAAAATCACTTCGGACTCGGAATCAGGACGCCCATATTACTAAGTATTCATATTTTACCTGGGAAATTTTCAGTTCTGAAAAATTTAATTTTGTCGCATTTTTTACGGAAGCACCCCCGTATCTTACGTAATTATTGAGGTAGGGTTCTCAAATTTGCAGGAGGAAGGGAAAGTCCAAAGATGAAGTCAAAATTCAAGTTTTCAGAAAAGAAAATTTTCCTGGACGAATATGAAAAGTTAGTGTATGGGGCGTCCTGATTCCGAATCCGAAGTGATTTTCAGCCTATTTTGACTCCTAATATCATTTTCCGGAAATTGGGGTGGTTCCATGGCTGTTGGCGAGCAGTGTATATCACTGAAGATGACCCCACTTGGTCATAGAGTGCATTTTCGATATATCTCTCGCTCCAGCAAATTTCAGGATCCTTACCCAACGATTACGTAAGATACAGGGGTGTTTCCATTAGAAGTGGGTCACACTGTATATCAATTTTCTTGTGTTCATAAATATATCTCAGAATATTCCTCTATTATATGAAAATTTGATTGAAATGATGGCTTCTAATCATTCCTGGGCCTCACACTGGCTTTATCAGACACCCCCAAAACGATAGAAGACGCGGTGGCGATTTCCGGCAGGCAGCGCGACCTGCAGCACATCCTTGATTCATGGAATTATTTATTTAATAATTTTGGAATATCCCTTCCCGTATAATTCCTCAAAATCCAGGATCCAGCGATGCCTTAAAAAGGCGTAGTGAGTGGCTGGGTCGACAGCATCCTGGAAAATAGACCATCAATGCATGAATTCCTTCATATTCCTTCTAAATCCCTTCCTGCATGATTCCTCAAAATCCAGGATCCAGCGATGCCTTAAGAAGGCGTAGTGACTGGCTAGGTCGACAGCATGAGCATAACCTGTGACCTCTGTTGTCCTTATCTGATCAAAAAGACACACATAATGGCATTCTGGCTGTGACAGAATCGTTAGGTCCGTTCATTCCTCATGTGTGCACTCGCTATCGCCCGTTCGTTTGAAGATTATGAAGATATAAATATCTCGACATGACCTGTCGCACGGAGCAAGTCATATCTTCCTGAATCCAAGTTATTAAAATTTTCGACTCTGGGAATTCTTTCTGATTGTACATCTCGTGGGGAAACCGAGAAAATGGCAAACTATGAAACTATGCCAGAACAGTAGGTAATCATATTCACTTAGAGAGTTTTCATTCACTGAGAGAAAACTTGTGTTATCATAAATGAAAATCTGATAACCGTTATTACGATATCTACAATAAATTGAGGACAGATGTGTTCATTTGCTACCATAGATGAAGTGAATGTTCAGGTGGCTTGTAGTTATGGCAGCATATTCAATTTGCAAACTTGTATAAACACCGCTGCTGAATAACTAAATATTTACTTGTAATGAAACTTCATTTTCTCTTGAGTTTTTCAAGTTCTCTCCTACATATATGTTTATAGAAGACTTTTATCTTGAAGAATGTATTCTTTGTGCTGTTAATGTCCTGCTACAAAGGCGAAAATTGTAGAACTGGGCTATCAATTTTTGATCGACTTATAGCACCGATAGTGTTCATTATCTCGAGCATTTATCCATTATTCATGATATACTGCTCAGTCCTCAAGATTTATTACGCGAAGCTGTCCACAAAAATTGTTGTAAATCATAGATTTACAATTAAATATTTTTTATATCTGTGCATGTGGGCTAAAGTAGGCGGTTTGTAATGCGCAATAACTCAAAAGAAAATTGAAACATGAAAAGTTAAACAAACAGCCCACCATCGCTGGCGCAAAAACCCTAACCTCGCGACTAGAGCAGAATACGTTGATGCCAGGAATAACTGCAGCCAAACAAAAGATGCTTCGGAAGAAACATACAATGCTAAGATGAGATCGAAACTCATAGATTGTCCCAATGGCTCCCGTTCGTTTTGGTCGCTAAAGCGGTCGGAAGGAATTTCACTAATAGTTCATTTCCACCACTGTCCAAATCCGACGGCACATTAGCAACAACATCACAGGAGAAAGCAAATATTTTTGCAGAGATGTTCGCAGCAAACTCTACTTCAGATTCCCAAGGAAAACTGCCACCAGACATTCCACCCGTTGAAAGTAGAATGCCCGAAATCGTCTTCCGTCAACGCACTATCAGACGAATTCTGTTTGGTCTCAAAACGAATAAGGCTAACGGTCCTGATGGAATAGGAATTCCACCCATTATCGTCAAAAAATGTGCACTAGAATTAACACCGATTCTCTGCAAGTTGTTTACCGTCTCGTACAGGTCGAGTATTTTTCCATCATGCTGGAAGACAGCTAGAGTCCAACCAATCCCCCAAAAAGGGAACAAGAACCTGCCCAACAACTACAGGCCCATTGCCCTGTTACCAGTAATCTGCAAAGTGATGGAGAAAGCCATCAATATTGAGCTTATCAAATATCTGGAGAGCTCAGGAATCATCGATGATAGACAATACGGCTTTCGCCACCGAAGATCTACTGGAGATCTACTTGCCTACGTCACCCATTTATGGCGAGCTTCATTAGAAAAACACGGAGAATCTCTAGCTGTCGCGTTGGACATATCAAAAGCATTCGACCGTGTTTGGCACGAAGGACTCCTCCACAAACTACCATCATACGGCTTACGACCTCAGCTATGCCATCTCTTATCGAGTTTTCTTTCAGGCAGATCGCTTCACGTGGTGGTGTATCGTCTGATACCATTGGCATCAATTCCGGCGTTCCACAAGGATCAATTTTGGCACCAACATTATTCCTTCTTTATATCAATAATCTGTTGGGAGTAACGACAACTTGCCCCATCCACAGCTTTGCTGTCATGATAATACCCGCCATACTGCGTTCTCTTCCAGAATTCCCATTTCTTCCCAGGAAACTAAGAACTCACGGTGCAGGCAGGTCAATGCTGTCAATGAAGACCTTGCTGAAATCACAGCCTGGGGAACCAACAACCTAGTTGAATTCAACGCCACCAAAACTCAAGCCTGTATTTTCTCTAGAAAGGCGGAACTCAGTATGCCCGATATTGTAATGTCTGGCACCACCATCCCCACCAAGCCCACCATATCTATGCTCGGTATTTCCATCAGCAACACTCTTTCATGGGATAATCATGTCAGATCCATCGCAAAAGCTGCTTCACAAAAACTCGGATTCTTGTTCCGTGCGAAAAGCTACTTTACACCTCAACAGCTTCTCATGATCTACAAAGCGCAGATACGGCCTGTACTAGAATACTGTTCCCACATATGGAGTTCAGCACCAAAACATACGCTGATCCTCTTAGATTCCATCCAGAGAAGAGCCATTCGCCTGGTGGGTGACGCCACACTCACTCACTCTTTGACATCATTGGAACACCGTAGAAAGGTCGGCGACCTCTCACTTTTCTATCGATACTTCCACGGGAAATGTTCTTCGGAAATCTCTGCTATCATCCCTTCACTAGCAATACCAGTCAGACGAACTAGACAAGCCCAGTCAGCACATCCTTTCGTTGTCAACCTTGAAAGATGTCGAACAGCATTTTATCAAAACTCCTTCATTCATAGAACGGAAGTATTCCCAACAACATATAATCTCCAGAAGTTCGAAAAAATTCCAATACCTACCTCCTGTCCCTATCCTCCCTAAGAACGCACGATGTTCTTTGAACATCATAGGGATTTCCTTTCGTGCGCTCCAAGCGATAAAAAAAATTCATACAAGTAATTTATATTTTGCACAACTTGTGGTGATTGAATTTTCTCTGACAATTTGATTGAAATGATCGCTTCTAATCATTCCGGGGCCCCACACAGGCTTCATCAGACACCCCACGACGATAGAAGACGCGGCGGCGGGGTCCGGCGGGCAGCGCGACCTGCAGCACATCCTGCGCGAGCTGCAGTTCATCACCAACAGGATGAAGAAGGCCGATGAGGAGGCGGAGGTGATCAGCGACTGGAAGTTCGCGGCGATGGTGGTCGACAGGTTCTGCCTGATCATCTTCACGATGTTCACGATCATAGCGACGGTGGCGGTGCTGCTGTCGGCGCCGCATATTATTGTGCAATAGGACCGATGAGGCGGGTAGCGATCTGCGAAGGCGTAGATAGGCCTCTGTTGTGTGTATTTCGTTTTATTTTCGAATTCGGACTTTTTTCTCTGAACTCAGACTTTATGTACCTATACGATAAATTGTCCCACGGTGAACCGCCGTACACATTGAACCATTTTTAGTTCAACACCTACCGCCATTTTAAGACATAGCGCTGATATACGTGGCACGATCCAATGAGTCATTATAGAAGTATCATCAACCGCCTCCGTCTTTTAGTTTATCCTAGAACACGCAATGAGTGAGAAAGTGCGATTTAAGGTACACTCGTCTTCAGCAAACATGTCGCGGTTGGACGGTATGAGGTGGTATGAGCGCTCTTACTGCAGCGGTGATCAAGGGAGCTGACACCGTCCATCTGCGACATGATCTCTGAAGACAAGTGTACCTATAGGTAAATAAAAATTCATTATTCCGTTCAAGTTATGATTTTTCACTATTTGCGTATTTATTTGGCTATGTTAGTTATCGTCTGTTTGAAAATGCCTATTTCAGCATTGAGAACTGTGAAAACTGTTTCAATTAGTCTCACGATTATTCTTATGACAATTTATTCTTCATATTTGTTAAGATTCAACAGTGAACCAGTACACAGTGAACCATATGATTCAATGTGTATTGACTGGTTCACTGTGTATTATATATAATATTCACCTAGTAAATATCTATATAAAAGTAGAGAATTATTTTTACTTTTATCTTACTACTTTTTGTTTCAACTGTCACATATTTTGCAGTTTTTGTATTGTTTTAAAAATATATTTTCACTGGTTCACTATGAGTTCATCAACTGATTCACTGTTTCCATAAGACGGTACACAGTGAACCAATTAAAAAAATATTACGATTCACTCTGTTGATTGAAACGATAACTGTGGCCGGCGCTTTTGTTCCGACTCCCTAGAGTACTTTGAAAAAATAAATTGAATTCTTCTGAATAGAAACTATATCATTGGCGGTCATTATCAACAAAAGTGGTTCACTGTGACACAGTTTACCCTATGTGTATGTGTAAACAGGGTGTTCGAAAAGTACCATCCCAAAAAATCACGAGCACGTATTCCTTGCGAAAGAAATAAAAGTGCCTACATTTTGTTTCATAACTGTTGTAATGGAATGATTAAGCACAGTTATATCATCAACTCACTTTTCGTTCATAAATCACATGCACCAGCGTGTGAGGCGTTCGGTCCTCGGAGCCTAGAGTATGTGAACAATTCGTTTTTATGAACGATATGATGACTGACTACACAGTGTAGTCTTTTATATTGTGCTCTCTCCTGCGGTAATATTTTGGAGGCCAGACTATACATTTATCAAAGCCACTATATTTTTAACGACAGCTGTTATCAAACAGAATGCGTTTCTGAAATTGTACCCTCTATACCAAACGAGGCTTACTTCATTCTTTATACATATAGGAATAGGCGTTCGTGATTATATACCATGAAGTTTTGAAACACCCTGTAGTACACATATGCAAAAAAAGTCTGTTTTCAGCGAAAAATATTCGAATTCATAGAAAAAAGTTTGGATAAAGAGATGAACTGAAATACACACAACAGTGGCCTTTCTGCGTTTTCGTAGCAAATCCACTGCATTTAGTGAAGGGTAGAGGGTCTAGAGACAGCACCAGAAATTCCATGAATATTCATAGATTATTCTCTTTGGAATATTGAAATGTTCTTGAACATACCAGGGATATACCTATATATCTTTGATGGAATATTACCTGAATGTGCTGGTGAGACATCAGAATGTATATATTCCCAGAATATAACACAAGGATCATTTGTTATATATTCACAATTTACCCATAATATTCTAGGAATATTATGGTAATATTCGAAATTTCCCAGGGATACTACAGGTATGTGGATGAATGAATGATCCTGGAGTCCACTAAACATATTCTTGAATGAAATATTTTTACCAGAGACGGGGCTCGAAACCGTGATTTTTAGATTGTCAGCAGAGCAACGCAGAAATATTTTATGTAACAATTCAATAACAGATCGTTGTTCAGAAACATTTCATAAATAAATACTGAATAATTGACACTTTCTATCTCAAGATACCTAATATATGTTCCATACTCACATCTCTAAAATATTGATTACTATTCCATTTTATCAAAATAACATAAGGATAATCATGGAATAGTCGATGGAGATACAATACAGAATATTCAATCGTTAGAATATTCCTGGAACATGCATACCTGGATATTCCTTGAATAATACAATTGGAATATTCTGAGGATATTCATATTGAAAAGTTCCTGCTGGGATATATTCCTTTATAGTTATCATTTTGGAATCTTATTGGAGTATTTACATTAGAATATTCCTTGGATATTACAGAATCATGTTCATATTCTTGAAATATTCGGTGGATATTCGGAATGTGTTTCTCTTTTTTTGGCATATTCAGAGAATATTCTAGGAATAACTGGTAATTTCTGGATCTGGAGCTTTGTTTATTGCTGGGCGATATCGGCTTTGACGATGCTAGGCAATAAAACGTGTGACCAATAATAAATATCATCACAATGTTTCCTAGCATCGCCCAGCAACCAAGCTTGACCGTTGTCGATATAAATGGAAAAACTAGTTGACGAATTGGTATAATATTGTCTGCCATGGAAAGAAAAATGCGCGAAAATCGAAATTGATGTGACTGTTTCCTGTATCGTATATAATATGTGAAGTTGTAAAGTCATTATTCATACGTGGCCTATACAATTTCTCTCATGTTGAAAGTCTAAACATAATTAACAGGAATTTTATCAAGTATAAACATCATCCTACTTCGAATAGGAACAGGAAGCATATACTTTTTTGCATTCAGAAAAAAACTGTTGTTATCGCAATAGTACCTATACAAACATGATCAAATTGATGCTATGGATTTGAGTAGGAACTGATGTAAACTAATCAGTGATTGCCATGTTAGAAAGTTACTGTCTGCACTTTATTGACAAACAAGCCAAGTAGAAACGTTGGAACTGTTCATATTTCCCTTCATATTGTCGATATCTCACCATTTCACCGCTTGATGAAATTCCTTCATTTGCAAGATATTTATTTTTAGTGCAGTAAATAACATATTGATATGGCTCCAAGAATATGTAACGCACACTATACCAAACACACACACAATCGAACACACGAACTTTCAAAACTTTCGACAATGACATACTCAACTAGTATCTCAAATATTTAAAATTGACAATCAACTATAGGTACCTAGGTAGTCATCAACAAGAATTCAGAAATTTCAGAACAAAAACTGTATCTTTTCACTAATGTATCAAATTTAATGTTTAATTTCAAGATATAACGATGTCACTGACAAATAACGAATTGAACCAAGCAGTTTCCTGTACAGCAAGCAATGGCAGATAGAAGGCAGATAGTATCGGGACCAGTCAGGAGACAATATTATGCTATTAGCTTATAGCTTTTCGATTCAGATCGACATTATTCTAAGATATAATGCTTTTTAGATAATGAGGACACGCTTATATATTGACAGTCTAATATTGTCATCATTTCTATACCTGAAACGTCAATTCTGTTGAAAATGTATTTGTAACTGATTTCCAAAATCCCGAAAATGGAGGAAATGAAGAGACACATTTGAATAGAACTGAAGATTTGCGAGGAGAATTACTCGAAAAAGTAAACTTTTCAATGAGTCGCTGATTTTTCAACTATTTTTGTATATATGCATACTTCAACGAAGGTGAATTTCGAATCCGTCAATTAGGAGGAAACGTTTCAAACTCACAGAATATCCTGAATATTTAATGCAAATGCAGCTCGTGAAGTAGGTATTGCATATTGTAAAACTAGTCAATGCGATAATTCTTAGTCGGTGTTACTCTATAGGTCATTTCAATGATTTTAACTGTTCACTTTTCGCATTTATTCAAAATATTTTCATTCTATTAGGCATGAATGAACCGACAATAAAAATAACAAGGGTATTTTGTGAGTTCGTGATAAATACCAAGTAAATATGCCTTCAGTGGTGTGCCACTGTTTGGGCTCTGCAATGGAAAGAAACAATAAAATCATCCTCATTTCTTATAAGAAGCATTTGTATCTCACTCATTCTACTCGTCTGTTCCAAGACATGATAGGTGTGTCCTTACTCTCTAGATAGCATTAAAAGTTCTAGACGTTCTAATGGAGGGTAGGTCGAGTTTGCGGACCAATTCATGCCAGTGCAAAATGATGGCACATGTTTCTCAGGTGAGTTCTGATGTCCTGAATGAATTCTCTGGAGTCCCAAAGTAGGAAATTTATTCCTATATTCCTCTCTTATATTTGTATTGCATTTATAAGGGGTGGCCGCGGGGTGACTATTAAATATCTATTGGGCCTTCTTCAATATCATTTCGTTGTTAAGTCAACATATACATATACAGGGTTTGAATTGATGAATATGAATGAGTGCAAGGGTATTCGATGAAAAAATTTCAGAAACATGCGTTCTGACTCGCTTCGCTTTCGAGATTAAAGGCGCCGTTGAAGCTAAAAGTATTAATCTGTCTTTTTTTCCATGATAAGCTTAGACAAATTCAGACTGGTTGGTGACTGACAAAGTCTCGGGATTTCAGAATGACCCTTGTATTGAAGTTATTAAGTAATCTTTATGGGTGTCTGGGAGTACCTTCATTGTTATTCGTTTCCTCAAAAATTGAGATTAAAAACTAACACAAAAAGACAGGAAAGTTGGTGGCTGTGCAATAATATTCACCAGAAATATCGATGAGGCAAACCCAACACTAAAAGAATCTCTGTATTACAATTTATGTGTTCAATAAAACCATCAAATTTCATTTGAATTGGCAAATAGACTTCTTATTGATAATTAATAACGCGCTGTTTCTCGAAAACGAAGCAAGTTACGACAAATGTTGATATAAACTTATTTTTATAAACCCTCTGACTTTTCACTTGTTCAGTCACACCCTGTGTGGGTATATCTACCGAAACACTCACGAAAACTCTATTCGAACCAGAATTTTAGCCCTTGTCATATATTCATCAAATAGTACACATACAAAAAATACAGATGTGCTTGATAATAAATCAATTAGAATAATTAA